GAGAAGGCCATTACCGAGGCTTTCGAGGCAGCAGAGGAGCACATGTATCGGGAACTGGTTGACGAGGCCAGTTTGTCACCGTCGGGCACATCCTCCGGGACGGTGGCATGTGTTGCTCTTCTCCAAGAGAAGGAGCTGTTGTTTGTGAACTTGGGCGATTGCCGTGCAGTCATCTGCGACGGCTCCAAGGTATCCACCAAGACGGCGGAGCACTCCCCTGAGAAGAACGCCGGGGAGAAGCATCGCCTGGAGGAGCTCGTCGTGAACATCGACGGAGGTTATGTCGACGGCAAGGTCCAGGTGTCCCGAGCCTTTGGTGACATTGAAGGTAACACAGGTGCGAAGATCCATGGCTTGATCTGCAAGCCGGAGGTCACGGTCGCACATGTAAAAGACACTACAGAGTTCGTGGTGATCGCGACGGATGGCATATGGGATGCCCTGCAAGAGCAGACAGTGCTGACAACGGCTCGAAAGGTGCTGCGCGAAAGCCGGTCTTCTGAAGCGGCCGCGCAGGCAGTGCTGGAGTCTGCAGGACGGGTTTCCAAAGCAGACAACGCCGCTGTCATCGTTCTCGCGATCAACATTCCTGAGCCGCTTCCAAAGCGTGAGCCCGGACAGTTTCGTTTGAAATTCGGCTCCAAGACGGAGTGAGGCTTATGCTTTGCACATGCATGATCGCCATGTCTCGCAGGCCTATGTCTGCTGTTCCACGAGGCATCGGCAGATCAACATTTCAAGACATTTGAAGGAAAGACAGTCTAGTCTACCCGTGCGACATGAGGTTTTCTCATGTTATCTCCGAGAACTTGCATGTTATAGATCCAGATTCAGGGAAGCGATGCTGTTCACCCTCCCTTGCACTCCAATTGGGGCCTAACAGATTCCTGAATCCGCGGAAAGCAGGATCCTGATGTCGCTTTGTGATTGATTTTCCCTGAGCTGCTCCCGATGCGTGATTCGGCGCAGCGGCTCCTCAAGCGTTGCTCCAAAACGGAGTACGGCTGAAATGCTTTGCTGCATGTGCATGATAGCCATGTCTCGCAGGCCTCTGCCTGCTATTCCACGAGGCATCGGCCCAACCACATTTGAAGCGCGCTTGAAGCGAAAAGAACCTTTAAATGCCACTAACTATTCTGGTAACCGGTGGGTGTTGATGTTTGGGAGTCTGACGCACGCATTGCCACGCTGAGCAGGGACTTGATCCGGTGCCCTCCCACCGCAACATGCCAGGATACTCAGGGTGGGAGCTTGCGCGACCGTCTCCAATCAGGCGGGTTGCTGGCATTTTCGGGCAAGGGCGCGGGTTCCTTCCAGCGACACAGCACCAGGCACGATCTGTGCTGCAAGAGTATAAGAGGTCTTGGCGCATGCCTTTTGCACCCGCTGCAAGCATCTCTTTCCATGCCGGGGAGGCCTTAGAATCTGTCCATCTGCTGCTGCCCGCATCGCGCTCTTCCTGACAGACTGCGAGGCGCGATGTGAAATCACGAGATTGAGGCAACGTACTCGTAAGTGCTTTGGCCTTGGCAGGTTTTATGCAGCACCGGCCTTACGATGTCGGCGGTGATGTCGATTTGCCACAGCAAGGCCCGGCGGGGGAGAAGTCAGGTAGCTGGAATCTCCCAAGATCTCCCAAGCAAACATCATAATCTCAACAGGTCGAGGAAAGACCTCGGCCCCGGCGCACAGAAGGAACGCAGCAGCTGGCCAAGGAGGACTCTCAAGGGCTGCCGTGGCCCGTTGACTGCCGCTTGCATCCACCGTAGTCCCTGGGAGGGTTGATATCCACAAGAATGAATGCAGGACGTGCGGCCGAAGATCGCAGGACCGGCGAAATAGATAGTCCGCTCTCGGAAGGCCGCTCGAAGATTCTGACCGCAGGAGCCGTGGTTACGAGTCGGCCACGCGCTCCCAAGGCGCGGACCGTTCTGACGGCGAGACGGCAAGATGCTTTTCCCCTCAGCACCCCACTGTGTGAGGCCGCGAAGTTGTACCAGCGCCAGCGTGCGCGCTGGCCGCGGGGATGCCTGAACAGGTCCGCCGTCACGCAAGAGTGATGCTTTGCAGCCGCCTCCGTGCGGCTTTTCTAGCATTTGAAGAGCACGCTTGTTCTGCGTCTCTAGGTCATGCACGGTGCAGGAGGAGGCCGAGGCCGGTGCAGTGCATTGGCTAATTTGGCTACCGGCAGCTCATCGATGCTGTAGGTTTTTCCTTAAATCCAGGACATGCCGAAATCTACCAGTACAGGCACGACGTGCAGGCATGAGCATCTGCCTGCACCGCAGGTGGAGCATCTGCGAGAGCATTTTGTCAAAGATGACGGCCAGTATGGTGGTGCACATCGAGCAGCGCCCTGAGGCAAGATACTGCAATGGCCAGGAGCTACGCCAAGATACTGCTTCGAGCAGGGGTCCTCCAGGCACCCTGGTCCGAAGGGTTCGGACTTCCTTCTTGCTTGTCTTGTACCCTGCAGAATCGGTCTTGGTGCTGGTGCCGAGTGCCAGTGATCTTTCATGGTCCCGGTAAACCTTCCCGTAGTTGCCGTTACTGGAAGTTGCCTAAGGTTCGAAATCGCCGATGCTGTTTCGTTGAGGTGTCGGAGATCACAGTGCGAGTCCCATGTTCTGCCTTGTGTCTGAGTCGAGGCGTTGGGGTGTTACAGGATACCTGTGGCTGGGACCAAACAAGCAGTTTCAGTTCTCGTGTTTTGTAGCGAGCCCCATTCTTTTCAAGGATCTTGTCTGGTACACAGGGGTTGTGAAGATTGCGGATTCGGCAGAGCAGTGGCAGAGGTCGGGAGCCGCCATTTCAAGCTGCAGACGCACGTGTCGCACACTGTGCACCAAAGCCACTCGGAGAAGAATACCGAGTTAGGCCGAGTTGCATTTAGCCCATTGCGTTTCAGCTGTATGCAGCCCTCTAATGGTTTGTCACAGGCTCCGAGGTTCCCAGGATGGAGATGCTCCCTTCTTCTGACAGTGATATCCCAACGGAGTGGACGGCTTTTTCTTGGTGGTGCATCCAAGGTGTTCAGCGCCCTGTCGCTGCATCGGCATGGCCATCGAAGAGTCCATGGCTACTCGGGCCTGTTCAAACATTTACCGACCATGTCTCCGCCGGCTTAGCTTATCATCATCATTCTCAAGCGCTGAAGACCACAAGCACCGAATGCCAGCGGGTTAGAGGGTTCGAGGGCGAGCGGTCGACGAACGGATTTCCTGAGCAGCTGCCATGTCCACTGCAAGTCAAGCACTACGTCTTGCCTTGGGCAACATTCGTCTGTGTCGGTTGGCAACAAGAGCGAGCTAATATGTTGGCCCACTGCCTCAGGAGGTAATTCTCAGCGTGATCAGCCACAAATTCGAAGGACACGCCTGCTTCGCCGGTCAGAAGCTTCGTGCACCACCCACACACTTCCATAGCTTGAAAACATTTCCGTTTCGTCCTTCTACTTCAAATAGGCTTCCCAGCCTCGAGGAAGCCTTTGAAACAGTATTTCCATTGTTCTACCGTCAGCTGGGAAACTACGATGGAACCCGCTGCCTTGGCTGTGGAGGAGTTTCGGTTCTGTGCCACGTGAACTGCCCGACGGAACAGTGGCGACCACGACAGGATTTTATTCCTTATCAGAACTCGAAAGCCAGCGGTTGCTGGGAGATCGGGGTCAATGTCGAAGGTGGAAATCCATTTTCGACTTTGACCCCGGTGATGGGCATCATCTCCAGGTCAGAAGGCTTCATCGTGTAGGAGCTCCTTGTTCTGGCTACTAACACATCTGGGATGGTCCGGGTGCTGAGACGGGCATCACAGTGTCATCACCACAGCCCGCCCGCAAAGGGCGGTGGCAAATGGAATCCCCGAAGCGCATCTGGCGCAGCGGCGCCTCCATCGGTTTGGGAGGCATGTTGAGAGCCCCGTGAGCGAGGACACATCTTGTCAGAACGTGAAGGGTTAATGATTAATGAGCATTCTGTGGCGATGCTTTGCCTTGGAATGGCCCGAGGCAGAGCAGGGTTGACCAAGAAACGGTGAGATACGCATCAGACGAAAGACTCTTCGTTTTGCCACGCGCAGAAAGGTCTCTCCCGTGCTGCTTGTTGGCCTCCTTAGGCATATCCGTTCAGCAATAAAGACTCGCGATGTGCGGCGCCATCCAGATCTGTACGGCATGTGTTTCTGTCAGTCAGTCTGCTAGGATTGCACCTACCTGCAATGGATAGTGGCAAAGGCCAAGAAACCTGTAACAACAACGCAGAACATCACATAGTAGACACGGTTTTATATATGATATTCTTTTTGGAAGCATCTAGTGTGTAGTATACGACCTACAATACAAACTATCTTTTGTATCATCTTTGCCAGCCTCTTGCCAGGCAGAAGAATCGGCTGCGCGAGCGATGGGAGAAGAAGTTTGCGTGGGATTGAAGCAACTTGAAAAGGGCCTAGATAGCCCGTAGGGTTTAGGGCGTAGCGGCTACGGCCTTGATTGCGGAGAGTCTTATCAAACTGTCCATATCTGGCTGGGTTCTCTTCAGCCTCTGGGGAGTTTGTGGCGTTTCCTGCGCCTGCCTCTTAGGGGCAGTGGCGCGGAGCTTGCATGGCCTAGCAAGGTGTACAGTGTTCAGATCAGCGCCAAGCATGCCTGTCAAAATGCTCCGACAGCATGTCCAGATCATCTCACGTTCGAGTCGTGCTGGCACAGAGTTCGTGATCAGCTCCACATCTTCACCCAGAGCCCAAGACCTCCAAGCCTTCACATGAACAGCAGTGAACAACCTAGCAGCAAGGCAATGGGCTAAAAGGGGTGCACGTTGAATATGTGGACTAGCCCTCACAAGCTCGAATGCTGTCGATTCGTTCAGGGGTTCGACCACCACTGCCGATACCTCAACGTTTGCGTGGGGGGCAGGACATGCCCCGCAGGTAATCGTGTCGTATGATAGTCGTATGAGGGGTCGGGAGCCTCATCTGGGGCGGCAGGAGCTACCCGGCCTGGTTTAGCTTCGTGGCCCGGGGCCCAGGGGAGGCTGCAATGAACTTTGCAGCAACAGGTTTGACTTCACGCAACTGTAATTTAAAGATGAAGCTCTGAAGATTTCGTCTTCCCACGCTTCCGGAAGGCGCTGCTGTTCCTACTGATGGTCACGTGCAGCTTCGCCCACTTCCACTTGATCAGTGACCCGTCCAGGCCCGTTCCGATTTCTGCTACTTGTATCTGCGGGCTTGAGGGTTTGGGTTTTTGAAGGTTGCGGGTTTCGAAGCTGTAGCTGTCGGGCTTGGGCTTGGAGTCGCTGTGCTGTCCTGCTTGTCAGTCACGACTTGCACGAGTCGCAGCCAGTTGTGCCGGAGCCTCGTGCGCTTCGAAAAATGCAGATTCCACAGACATCAGGCCATCCAGCTCTGACTTCGCCCGGGTGCAGGGGATCTTTTGCTGCTCTTGAGGTTCTATATCTTCACCAGCGTTGCTGGTTGTGTCAGAGCCCCTGTTTCGAGGTGCAAGGGATCTGCCAGCTGCATTCAGTTGTCCTGTGTCTTGTAGGGGTAGATGGTCTTCCAAGATTAGTTGCTTCAAGAAAGCCTGACACGCTCAGATATCTTCCATGGAATCTCTTTTCCTCCTTGCGTTGCTCGCCACGACCTCAGTGGCTTACCTGTGGGTCGTCGTTCTCGGGGTAAGACCAGACCACTTCGCTCTTTTTCAACTGTGCTAGTTATGTCATATGCCATAAAAATGCCGCAGGTTTTGCTATGCCAACCGCCGATACTGAGTTGAGTCAAGCATTTGGGCTGCTAACTGGGATCTGGTGCTTTTGGTTAGTTGTGGCAGAGCTTTATCGCGCAAGGAGCCGTGTGCTAGTGCCACCTTTTCTCCTTCAAACCTACCGTCCTCTCCGAATAGTCTTTTGCCAAGTGGGGCATATGGGAACCTTGAGCATTCGTGAATAGTGCGGTGTGAGGCAGCATTACTGCTGGCTATCGAATGCCTTCGAAGCTAACAGTCTGTTTGTCACTGCATGTATTCTGTTGGGCAGCGATGTTTTGCGGGGCTCAGTGGCCCCTCCTGGTGCAAAGCCATCTTTTGGGATTCTCAGTCCTGCTTCGCCCCCAGCTCCGTTCCAAGGCCCAGCACACCTACTTCTGCTTAGCAGGCTCGACTTGCGATTCTTGGCGGATTGTGAACTTTTTCCCAATAAAAGCTGGCACAATAGAGGTGGCTATCGCACAGAGCTTTGCGACGCAAAATAGCAAGTCGAAGCTCTGTCGTTTGCTTTTCAGACGCCTGGAAGGCATCACCACTTTGGAGTATATCAAAGATCAGGCCCGGCACAATAAGGACATGCGGCTTTGGACTTCACTTCATCGGTCCTTTGCATGCAACAACATCAAGATTTCAGAAACATGAGAGAACTGCAGCGTTCTTTCCGACCGCAAAACCGCAACTGCGTAGTGACTTCACACCAAGACGCCCCTGCGGAGTGTGAAGCCTGGAAGCCCTGAATCATACTCTCACCTTCCCCGAAGCCTTCAAAATTACATATAATATATAATAGCTATCACATTATATATATATACACATACATTATCTATTCTATTCTATTCTATTCTATTCCATTCCATTCCATTCCATTCCATTCTATTCTATTCTATTCTATTCTATTCTATTCTATTCTATTATATTAGGTTATATTATATTAGGTTATATTATATTATGTTATATTATATTATGTTATATTATATAATACTAGATTATATTATATAATACTAGATTATATTATGATATACATTTTTTGTATATTATATTATAATATGTTTTATTATGTTATGTTATGTTATGTTATATTATATTATGTTAAGTTATACTATATGATAATATATCGCATTATATTATGTTATATTGTGTTTTATTATATTATATATTCGATGTGATATATTATATATGATATGATATATATTATATATTATACATCATATATGATATATGATATATTATATATTATATATTACATATTACGTACTATATATTATACATTATACACATCTCACAGACACTGGTCTTTCTCGTGCACGGCCCGAGGCCAGCGCCTTCCCAGGGCTGCCGCCGAACGGCTGGCGAGAGGCTCGGAAGCCCTGTACATATGTATATAAATATA